GCCCTTGGCTCCCACACTACTTCCTGACGTCCTTCCCTGTCCTCAGTCCAAACTCTGCACTCCTCTCCTCATGGCACCGGGCACACGATTCTTTATTGTTTGCCCACTCACTAGACGATTAGCTCCATGCGGATGTGTTTTGTTCACGGCAGTATATCCAACATCTGGCATGATGCCTGGCCGTGGAAGGTGCTAGCTAAATATTTGCTGAATAAATGAATGGGTAAATAAACCACTAAAAGTCCTGTGCCTATATAGCAAAATGGCCAGAAGCAAAACAGGACTTTTGATTTTATTTAAACACATTATGCAGAGAAATGCCGATGAGTATTATTCCAAGAGCAAATATATACACAGATAAAGATCGTACACACAGAGATTACACAACAGTGGCACACACTGACATCCTCATCTGACTTAGTTTGGACATTAGCACGAGAGAGAGACCAGGAGATCCTGTTTCCCAGAGGCTGCCACCACCAGCAAAGGGGCATGGTGGTTCTGACCCCAGAAAGTGGGGCAGAGGGAAGAAACAAGAAACAACACAGCAAAAGGCTAAGTGCTCAAACCCTAACACCAGAGAACCACACTCACTCTCGTAGGTCTCACTTTTACAACTCAAACCAAAATGGACCCCCCCCCCTTTTAATCAACATCACAAAATCAGAAATCACGGGGAAGATAAACCACTGTCCATTGAGGTCAACAGTTTTTGCCAGGCATCATCACATACACTGGCATTCTGAAGTGACAGGTAAGCAATAAGCAGGACAAGGAAAACAGCCCAGCAGGATCTGGGAAGGGTCCAGCCCCCGGGTCTCAGGAGAAGGTGCTGAGAACCTGGCACGGAGTTCAGACGGACCTGGAGAAGCTGACTGGACCAACAACCATGGCAACAGGGCAGGCTAAAGGGCCAATGTCTTAGTAAGAGCAGAAAGGAAAGTATATACGTGCAAGGGAATGAACACAACACAGTCACTTCCTAGTGACAGCAGGCTGGCTGTGAGTGTACTGTATCAGCAGAATAGCGGAACAGAAGTGACAGCTTCTAAAATGGAAAGAGTTAAAGTACAATAGGTCATGGATGCTACGGGGGTCCAGGACAGAGAGAT